GGTCCTCCCTCCTCCCTTTCTTAAAGATGGGGACTACATTGGCTATCTTCCAATCATCTGGCACCTGGCCCGAGCACCACGAGCGCTCGTAAAGCCATGCCAAGGGCCCTGAAATAACCCCTGCTAGCTCCCTCAACACCCTGGGGTGGAGAGCATCTGGGCCTGCTGACTTGAACACGTCCAGCCCCTCCAGAAGCACTCTAACCCGGTCCTCCTCAACCTTAGGTCTTAGGGCGTTCCCTTCAAGTCCGCCTTGAATCACAGTGGGGGAGTCCCGGTCCCTGCCCAAGAAACGGAGGTGAAGAATTTGTTAAAGATGTCTGCCTTCTCTTCTGGCCCGACAACCAGATTGTCCAGCGTATCTTGCAGGGGCCTCACATTTCCTGGCGCCTTCTTCATCCTCCCTATATATTTGAAAAAGGACTTTTTATTATCCTTGATCTTGGACGCTAGTCTTAGCTCTATGTCTGCCTTAGCTTTCCTAACAGCCCCCCTACAAGCCCGAACAGTGGAGGTATACTCTTCTTTGGAGATAGTCCCCACCTTCCACCGGGTGTATGCCACCTTTTTGGCAACCAGGCATCCCCGGACTTCCTTGGTAAACCAGGGAGGCTTTTGGGCACTCTTGCCCCCCTTGCTTCTTGTTGGGATTGTCACCTCTTGGGCCCTGAGTTTCGTCTCCTTAAGGAACGACCACTCATCTTGGGCACTGAGTTCCCCTGCCCTTGAGAACCCCAGCGCCCCTCCCACCAATCTCCTTAACTCGTTGAAGTTGGCCATCTTGAAGTCTAGGGCTACCGCCTTGCTGCAGGCCCTTGACACCCTGCGCTGGATGATGAATTCCAGCAAGCGACGATCGCTATCACCCAGTGAAAATTTGTGGTTTTTTTATCAGAGAAAACCAGGATCCCTAGTGATTACTATAACTCACTTCTCTGTCAGTCCATCAATGCCAGGACATTCTGCTTTTGGAGCTATTTGGCTTTATTTTTCATATATGGATTATTATAGAATGGGGATCAAGATAATTGCCTTTCCTACTTCTGTGTTTATTTTCTATAAATATCAAATATCAAATGAGCAGGATATCTTTTCATGTACACATTCCTATGTTGTCATTTTTTTTTATCTTAACAGTTCAAATTGCTTTACAAGCATTTTGTTATTAAGCATCAATAACCCTGTTAGTCGTGCAGGGGATTTAAGGCATTCCCCCCCACATATGATATGCAAATGCCACCAAAGTAGACTCTTCAGAAATTAACAGCTCACAGAAGCATTTCCCAACAGATTAGACTGCAAAGTAAACAAATATATTGTCCAACTGAAATATCAAGGTAAACATACATAGAAAAAATGTAATTGGTGGACTTAAAATTAGGTACAGCAAATGATATTAACACCTGGATCAGTCCAAATAAGTAGCCATTTTTTTTTGCTGCTTTTAAATGAATGAATCTTCATTTTACCGGGATTCTACCCATTTACATGGTCAAAAATGTTAATGATGTCAGGTCACTATGACATGTTTTAATGCTGTATCAAACACAAGGAAAAAACAATAATCAGATTTCTTTCCTTTCATGCCATCTTTAGAATTAATGACCAGTATAAACTCCCTGTTAAAATACATTAAATACAAAGTCAGAACATTAGGGTGAGATTACACGTTGCAATAAATTGATTTTAAGAGCATTTAAAATCTGAACAATCACATATTACACCTCATTAACAAGTGCTAAATGCCCTTTACAGATATTAAAGTTATGCCACTTCAGGTGAGGATTATTTTTGAGCTGTGCTACCCAGTTTGAGTTCAATTAACTTCTGGTTTCTCATCTGGGATAAAACCACTAATTTACAGTCCTCATGTATCCCAGGAAGCACTGTTTCTGGGTGGACAGGTTTTCATCCAGGATTTTATGGCCCTGGACTGACAACTGGGGAGAGTCAGGCAGGAGATAAAAGGGGAAGGGGTTGAGTGGGGAGGGAGAGGAAAGGGATGAATTAGTACAAGGAGGTATGTGAGGGAGGAGCAGGGGAAGAGGACAGGGAGGTAGGAGTAGATGGGAAAACAGGCAGTGGATAGCTGGATGGGGAGCTGCTGGGCTGCCACCTCCCTGCCCCACAAAATTTCCCCTTCCACCCCCAGATCCCCCATCATATGGATCACTCCTATGCTGGCCCAACTGCCCCTCAGTCAGAAGTTCCTAGCCACAGTCCTGCCCACAGCCCACCAGTGACAGGTCCAAGTGCTCTATGTTAGTGAGGGTATTAATCCTTAACATGTGATTATGCACAGCACATGCTAGCTTTAACACCAGATAGCATTCCTTAGAGTTAACATGTACTCATATGTGCAAAGTATAATCTTACACTTAAATATGGTAATCTCCTAACATATGGCTATTATCATTATCAAACTATGCTTTCAGTGGGGGGGAGTTTTCTTGTTGTTTGTCTGTCTTGTGGGGTATTTTGTTTGTTTGTTTCAATAGCAACTCATTCTTTAAGAAAAAATAAATAACTTTACATTTAATAAAAATGTAAACAACTTGCCAGAAGGGGAAAAAAAAGTATATTTGAATAACTTACTAGGGATACTTTGCATTTATTATCCATATTTGCACCTTATTAGCACATTTCTGCTGCTTGTTTGTATAAGCAAATTTAAGTTTTCCCCCAAAGATTTCCTCAAACAAATTTTGGAGAAAATTGTCTGAGAGAGACCAACTGTAAATTTTTTTGTAATAGCTAGAAAATAGGAAGAACAAAATCGCTCCTGTGCACAGAACAGCTTTTGTATCACTAAGCCCCACAATTGGGCCTCTAAGTTTGCTTAAGTGAATTAAGTGTCTTGGACCTGGGCCCAACTGTGGATTTTACTCTGTGTGTGCTTCTACAAGTATGTTTTACTGCAGAGTTGACTGACTAGCTCCTCAGTAAAGTGCCACTGTCCTCATGTGTACCTGTATTATGGTGCAGTAAATTAACTTCGCTGTAGGATAGTACTGTCTGGAGACAAGTACTACCCTACAGAGGAGTAACTATGTGCACTGAAACACATGTGTAGACAATGACCAGGGCTTGCTGGGGCCTGAGGGTGCTAAAGTGTAGGGGGCTGCCTGTCAGCTAGCTACACACGGTAGCACCCTTGTGCCCTAGCCTGCTCCTCTGCAGCACGTTGAGCCAGCGTGGAGCAGTGCCAGGTTGGCAGGCCAACCCCCAGGGCCCCATGGCAGCTGAGGCTGCTCTGCCCTGGTTCATTACCTGTGGTTCTAGGCATATGTGTAAATGCTGTGCCTGGGAGCAATAAACTCTGGGGTGAATTGTACTGGAGTTTATTGCTATGTGCTAATTGCACATGTACATGCACCCAATAAACAGATTAAAATAAGTTACAATAAATTACCAGGAATCTAAAAGCGGAAAGTTCACATACCTCCACACTTAGGAATAGGCCCACTCCACATTACTTTTCCATCCATCAGTATGCAAGTAATTGTTTCAGTTCCTTGTGTTTTAATAAATCCTTCTTCACAAATGACAGAAATTGAACTCCCCAATTGAAAGTTGTCACCAAAACGCCGTGCATTGATTGGTACTCCAGGATCAGGACACTCATTATGTCCAAATGCTTTGAAACGGAAACAAAAGAGGTGGGAAATAAATAAATAAATAATAGCACAAGATAAGAAATGTAATTAAGCCTTGAATAGGCTGACATTTTTAGAGGGTTTATTCAGCTAGAAAGGGCAATCAGATGCCATTCCTGGGATTTCTAGCTGAAATTAGCCACTTAAATATTTTTGACAATACTTGCATGTATTAATAGTGTATACCTGTATATTAGTAATGCATACCAGTATGAATTTGTGTATGGCCTCTGTTATACTAATGTAAGTGTACTTGATCCTAATATAGCTTAGCTTGTTTCCCAAACAACTATATTTATACAACTATGAGTTTAATTATTAGTATAGTTAAAACTGTAAAACTCTCTAGTATATAAACACCCTTGAATTTCAAAGTTAGGAGATATCTTTGCAAGAAATAAAAAAAACTTTGTAGGAAAATGATAAAAGAAAAGTAATTTCTCTGTCCATGTCCACATGATACAATAAAGACAACCCATTATTTTTGTTACTGAATAAACTGAAATTTGAAGGAACAAAGCCACACGTATGCAAGTGCATGCACACAAAGTCCAGAGGAGGGCAAAACCATCCTCATAACAATAAATAGGAAGATGCACACTTATTATTTTTGGCTTTCCTTTATGTGAAAGGGTAATACACACACCTTTTACAATTAAACAATCACTGATTTCTTTTGAAATGAGTATCTTTTGTGGCTAGTTGTGCCAGTAATTTGTTTCTTTACATATTTGCCTATGTATAAAGAAAGAGGAGATTTGGTAGAGGTGCCAGAATATTTGATAAAGAGATGACCCTTGTGGCATTACAAAGTTTAATGGTATAAAATTGACCACTGTGTCTCACTGAAAAAGAAATTCCACTAAATTAGCTTGATAGAACACTTTGTGATTGAGTATAAGGCTGCCAATGCATGGCCAGCACAACAGACTAGAATTCATGGAACAATATGCAACAATTTCTCTCACCTATTTTGCTCTTCTCCCCTACCCCTCTATTAAAAGATGCCAATAAAATAATCTCAGCTTTTTAAAATGCATTTTTAATGAAATATTTTTTGTAAGTTTCGTACTGCATGGATTTATCATGGAAAGTTTGCTGTCAGTATTTGCTATTCAAACTTATTGCCTATTTGTAATTGGTCAGATAAATCACACTACTTTGCTCATACACTGTTTTCGTCCTTTTCTTGACTGAATGAATATACACACAGGTAACCTTGAAACCTACTTCACACAGATATTTTTGCTCGTGAAACTGGGTTGTCCAAATGACCTCACTGAACAAACCCAATGGAAGCAAAAATCTTCCGACCATGTTCAAATGAAAAATATTTGCAAAAATTGCTGCATTTTTTTTTAAGAGAGATCTAATATTGCATCTTCTATCACATATTTTACTCAATTATACAAATGTATTTTCTCCTTGGAGGGTATACATTTATGACTGCACTATATATCACCACAAAACAATTTTTCAAATGAAGATACCTTTAAAAACTGGAAAAAGTTCTCTCTACTTTGACCATCTCTAAATACAAGTAAAAATTGTCACTTATGTGTTTTAAACAACTACAAGAAAAACTGAATCTAGTGAGGCAAGGCTGCCAGAACTTCAGCCAGAAGTTAATTTTTTCCATTTATGTAATTTTCATAAATTAAAGATGTGTGGGGCAATTCTACTTTTAATACTATATTTTTGCTTTATTTAGCCAACTATCTGATTAATTTAGTAATAAGATTTCTTGAATGTTGCCTTGTAATCATGCTGAAAGCTAAAGTAAAGCAAGAAATAGCACATCATTCAAATGCACACATTTTTTACTAGGAAAATACTGTACATCCTGTAGATTATAATATAGTTAAATGCTGTGGGGATGCGCGACAATGGAGATGGCATTCAAATACTCATTAATTCAGATATGTTGTCTCCTAGAAGTAAAAATAGATGTTTATTCTTTCCTCAGAAAAGTATATACAGTCCATACTTTTAAGTGAAAAGATCAACTGATATTTTTTTTTCTTACTAACTTCAAACGAGACATTGTTATTATAAACCCCAGATCTGAACAAAAAGACAGCACTAAGGTACATGTTCTAATTTTTGCATCTTTCACTAAGAAAAATATTCCCAAAAAGTTCTGGCATTCCTTATGTTTTCCACTCTGCTATAGTGGAATGGAGCAAACCAGACATGATTTAGGAGGGTTTTGTTTTGTTTTGTTTTTTTACATATTTGGAAAAGTATGAAAAATGAACAAACTAAGAGAATCTTAACAGTGCTGTTTTCTATTATATGATGGACATGGTAAAAATCTTAATACAAGTGCAGACCGTTCAGAAGTTTTCAATAAATATTTTGGTTCTATATTTCTATATTTGACATTTTAGTGTAAGATGAAGATCTTTCAGTTCCAATGTTAATGAAAAAAGATGGCAAACAGCAGTTTCTAAAGTTAGACATGTTTAAATTAGCATGTTTGAATAACTGGCATTCAAGAGTTTTGAAAGGTCTAGCCAAAGTTGTCTGTCTCAGTCATTTTTAGTGTCAGTACGTTTTTGAACAATGGGGGGTGGTCCAGAAAACTGGAAGTAATTGAATATGGGTCATGCTGAAAAAGGGGAAATAGAATGATCTGGATAATTATAGGCCTGATGTCCCTTGTAAAATAATAGAATGGTTGATATGACACTTGATTGATACAAGATTGAAGAATGGAATATAATTCATACCTATCAAAATGAATTTATAGGGAAAAATGCCATCAAATTAATCCAGTGTGATTATAAATTTGGTAGATAAAAATAATAGTACCAGTGAAATATACTTTTTAAAGGTGTATTAACTTACTTTTTGCTTACATTGGAGAGGGTTCAGGTAAGAACCATATAAATTATTTAAAGCTCGGAAAATGTGCCTTAATCAATTAGATCAATCTAACTTGTTTATGAAAGAGAAAGTTAAAGGGTTCAGGGGTAATCGATGAGTCCAAAATGCCTACACAAATACAAAGATTTCATAATGAACTTTACATTTCGGAAAATTAAAATATATTAAGATCCAGTAATTGGAAACTAAACCTAGACAAAGTTAGAGTTGTAATGAATACTTCAGGCCTCACAGATGTAAAGTTAATATAAGCTTGAGATTTTATTCTAAAAGACCAAAGGAAATAATTCAGAAAAAAAATCCTGTGGCCTGTGTTTAAAAGGAAGATAGACTAGATGATCACACTGGTCCATTCTAGACTTGCAATCTGTTTGTGAACAACCTAGAGGATACCATCGACACTATGCTTGTTTTAACAGTAGTTTCTCCTCTATAGAATGATATCCTGATGCCTAAATATGTGCTATTACTCAAGAAAGTAAAAGTGAGCACTACAAAAGTTAGTATTGGAGGTTTAGATTAATCATTCACTACAGGAACATCATATAACAGATCAGTCTGGCTTGAAGCTGAAATCAACAGTTGGTGGGAACAGTTAGTAAAGATGCAATATCTGCAGAATAGATCTGAATCCTTAAAAACTATGTCCACATGCAAACTACAGTTCCATTAAAGGAAGGTTTAACCAAAACAATAAAAATATATTATTTTAACTTCACAAACATTTCAAACAAAAATATGTATTGTTAAAAATTCTGCAGTAAATGATTATATCAAATTATCTCCCATAATTCCTACTCAAGCAGACACACATATATATAACACAAAGTGTAATCTTATAAATATAAGCCCATTAAACCTATTAGGAAAATAATTTTAAAGGTCTTTATTCTCCTTTTAGTTTACCTGACTTTGTGCTTACTTGTTTACTAATCTCAATAGAAGACACTTAGGTATCAGTAAAGTGAGACAGAGGCCGAGTGGGATTTTCAAAAGCATTTAACAGTAGATTTAAAAAAAAAAAAAAAGGATTCATGTCTCCTAAACTAATACATTGGTAGAATTTGTGTGTCCAAGTCCAAAATTGTGATCTTGCAAACCTTGCTCAACTGCACTCTAACTTTGAAGGGGTCTCATCACTGCCCGTTTTTAACCATAAAATCACCAAGGAGCCAAACATTCTAAGCCTGTAATTCCTTAGCTTTATTAGGACTGAAAAGCTTGGCACCTAAATCATTCTAGTCCAGTGGAGTTCAGCCTTTTGGGATCAGGCCCTGTTCCAACTCCCTTGGTCCTATGCTGCCAACTAGATCAAGGCCCTGTGCTGTTGGATTAGGGCTTTATGTGGCTTCCTTGAAGCTTATGTTGCTGATCAGGGCCCCACACCTGTCCTCTCAGTCCCATGCAGCCAGATCGGGGCCCCACACTGCTTCTATACATGAGCGTGGAGGCTTCTCCGACATGCTGGAATTCCAACGTGTCGGAGCAGACTCAATTAATCGAGTCAGCTTCAGCGTGGCAATTACCGTGCTCCAGCAGCCTCCTGTATCTTGTGTATCAGTGTCTCCATGCTTAAAAATGGTGGTGGGGGGAAGGGAGGCACTTGAACTAAAGCTTGTCAAATGAGTTTTATTTCAAGTGCCCACACTGCCATTTTTAAGGGTAGGTATGCTGATACACAAGACACAGTAGTATTTTAATTTGAGCACTTTCAGAGCCACTCTAATTCAAGTGCTCCCCTGCCAGACTCCTGCAGCATGTGTGAAAGTTCCCTGTGCGCCTGGATTGGAGTGAGGCTAACTCTGTGCTCTTATCTAACATTCTCTCCAGCCTGCAGGGCTCCCCACAGGGCCAGAAATTTGGCAGCTACCACTGCTCCCCCACCATAAACTTTTCAGAGCTGTAGGGATCCCTGCAGGCCAGATGCAATGGCTAGGGTTGAGCACCCCTGCTCTAGGCCACTATATGTTATTTTAGATACTGTTTGGAAGCGCTTAACACTATAGAGGAAGCAGAGATTTGGTTTCCAAGGTTCTGTGTTCCACTTTGGGGGTCGGATTCTTCAAGTTAGGTGCCACAGTGCCTGTCATTA